GCACAGGCGTTCTCCAGTGATTCCCGCTCCAGCGAGGCGCTGGGCCACCAGGGAGAGGTGCCGGGGCCCGTTGCCATTCGGAGCACGTCGCCAGGAGAAGGGCTGGGGGAGAGGAACCCCCAGGGCAGGCAGAGTTTTCCGCTTTGCGGTGCGTGTGGAGAAACACTCCTTCGGGGTTTTTTTTTTCCCTTTCTCTCCCCCTCCCCCCATTTCTTCCACGCAGCTGAAGAACATTAAACACATGAAATGCATTAGCTGAGGATTTTTTCCTTTCCCCTGCCCCCCTTTCCAAGCTGGGGACCTCCAGGAGGAACAGGCCCATGAATTGACCCTGCCCAGCGCTTTAATTGACAGGTCATTAAAGATGAATGTGTGGCTAGAGAAAAATATTCAGATTGCAGGCTAGTTGTTGTCCGTGTGGGATTTTAATGATTTATGTTTCTTTCTCCTCCCCTCCTCCTTACCCCCCCAACTCCAAACAATCCAGGCACCATGGGAGGTCTGTTTCTGGATGGCGAGGAAAGCCCCGCGCTGGAAGACATCAGCAAATGGACGGTGGAGGATGTCTGCAGCTTTGTGTCCAACTTGTCCGGCTGCACCGAGTACACTCAGGTAAATCTCTTCACGGCCTCGAGAACATCGCAGGAGGAGCGTCCTCCCTGCAAGCCCCTGTTCTTTCCCTCCCATCTGTGCCTGTTGGACTTGCGCTGTCCTCCTAGGAGAAGCTGTATTTCAGAGCCTTGAAGGGCATGAAACTTTTATTTTTTTTCTCGGGGATTGATAAATAACTTCTTGCTGCCAGTGGAGACCCCGAGAAGGTGTGTGATGGCCCTTTGTGTGATGGGCCTTGCAGATGGACAGCAATAGGGAGAAGGTACAGCGGGAGAGATGGGAGCAGGGATAAGCTGAGGAGTGAGCATCTGAGAGACCCTGACTGCGCCAGTGTCAGAGCAACCCCCGTGTCACGCTGTAGGGGATGGTGGCTGTGGTTTTTAAGCTCGTTATAGCAGAGTTGAAATATCCATCAGTACCGGGGGCTTCACAAAGCCTGCTCAGTGTGAGGTCGTGAGGTGCACTACAGAAAACAACCCTGTGTTTTTGTGTTTTTGGCTTCTGCATCTGATAGAGTCCATTATAAACGGCCCATTGAGAGAACGCACCAAAGGCGCAGATTGCTGAGCTGCCGGGGACGGCCTGGGGAGGAGGACAGGGTGAGCTGGGAGGGAGGGACGGAAAGCAGATAGAGAGGCAAGGGGCCAGGACAATCCAGCCTTTCAGCAGACAGACATCCGAGGCTGAGAACAGGTCTTGAAAGGGAGAAAGGCGAGCAGGAGTGAGCTTTCTGGACATGCTGCTTCAAGAGAGGAGCTTCCCTGGCTGATAGCTGTGACATCCAGGCAGGCTGAAATCTTGAGTCCTAAAAACCTGCCTCCTCCCCGTCTGTGGCCCTTGCTCTCTCTCCCTTAGCCATTCCCAGAAAGGTGGAGCTCAGCACCCTGCTTCTGCTGGGGCAAAGCAGCGTGTGTCTGGCTCTGGGGAGGTGATTCCTGTTCGGTTTTGCTGATTTGGTGCTGTGCCGTGGGGAAAGGCACGTGCTTTTGCATCCCTCCAGAGGGGACGGGGAAGCAGAAACCTGGAATTGCCCCACACCCCCTTTTCTTGCTCAGGTGATGGGATAATGTGCTTTTAACCCAGAATCTGTCCTTCCTTGTCCCTAACCGTGATGTTAATCCCATCACAACGTGCTTTGTTAAACCACCTGAAAAACCAGTGCTGCTTTGGATCACACAGCTGCACGTGCACGTGAGAGGCGGTATTTAGGAAAGTAAATGCTTGTGAGGGAGATGGGGTACTGGGAACATTTGGGCACATTTGGGTTGTGCTTGGGAGTGACAAAGTGATGGGGTGTGGAAGAGAGAAGGGTCAGTTTCTGGTTATGGAGAGAAGGAGGGCAGGGACACTGGTTAAAAAAAGATGGTGGATGGATGGATGGATGGGTGTTTATGGGAGGGAGAAGCAGCAGGTCTGTGTGTGTAGAGGGGAGTTGAGGAGCTGGGTTTGGTAAGGATGATCAGGGGATGGGTGGCAGGTTCAGGAGTGTACGCATGGGCTGCAGTGTGTGTTGAAGAGAACTCAAGCAAAAGGCTCTGAACCCCAAACATACAGCTGCTCGCATCTCGGTTACCTCCCACCCCAGTGTGCTCTTGCACCAGTGCCACTGCACTTTGGCTGCATTCGTGTGTTAGGGAATGAAGAGCAGAGCTGCCTGGAAGCTTCTGAATGAGGCCAGTAGGAAATGGGCAGAAAACACACCCACCTTGCATCGGGATCATCCATTTCCACCTTCCGCGCCAGCTCCTGGTGTACCAGTGGGGAAGAAATCAATAGCTGGCCAAGACAAAGGTTCGGCAATCTTCTTAGTGCATTGCAAACAAAATGTTTTACGATAATGGGAGCTGCTGTAAACAGCCTCCTGTCGTGGCCTTGCAATGTTGCATTATGTAGGGGGTGCATGGCTTAAGGGATGATGTGTTTTTAAGCGCTATGGTTGTATGTGTAACGGGTTTTTTACTATGTGAAAACGCCGGTGTTCGAGGGTGACCCAGCTCCGTGGCTCTGAACTGCAGAGCTGTCTGTGTTCTCTTCTCCAAACCCACAGCTGCCGGGGAGGTCTGGCACGGGGCTGCAGGCATCTCCTGCCAGGAAAACCCAGCAAGAGCTTGGTGGTATGCTGTGCATTCAGAAACGTGTTTCAGACAAACAAGACGACTTCAGCAAAAACAAAAGTTGCCATTCCCCATTTCAGCCCTTGACAATATTCGGCTTTGTCCCTGCAGCGGGTCAAGACCTGTGGGACACCCAAGGGAGGGCGATGCTTTTCTCAAGTTTAAGGCTTTTTGTGGGGGGTTTCAGTGCCGAGCGAAGGGAGGCTGTTGGCTCCCAGCCACGTTGGCTTCGGAGGAAGGAAAAGAAATCGGTACAGTAAGTTTTGCTAGGTCAAGGAGCAGAAACACATGCTGCAGTCATGAGCAGCTTTGCCGGTGGAGTCCAGCAATAAAAACCACTTGCAGCAGCTCAGCTGCCTTGGCTCCAGCAGCCACTGCCGCTCTCCAGCGGGATGGCTCTGGGCTACAGTCTGCTGCTGAAAAATAAACCATTGGAGTAAGTGGAAACCCCCTCCCTGGCCATTGTGTTTAGTAATAATGCTGGAGAGACAGCAGGATCCGGCCCCACAGACAGTTCGTTTGGGTCCAGTGTGAGCAGGGATGTGAAAAAAACCGCTACGGAGCAGAGGTGTGGTGTAGTAAGGAAAAAAGGGCATCTGCCCGACAGCTCCCAGAACCGAGGGAAGCTGCTGGAGCCGAGGGGAAGCTGCTGGGTAAATGACCAAACGATGGCAGTTTACTGGTGAAGTACTGAGCCTGTACGTCCAGAATAAACTCCCCGGGGAGCCTGGTGTAAGTGTAGCTCTGCTGCGTGTATGAAGAATGGAGCAATAAGACCACGTATCCAGACCTTAACCTTTAGAACACGGTACATATTATGTGGAAAACTCTTGCCTGACCCTGTCATTTGAAACAGAGGCAAGACAAAGTATTTTTTCCTGTCCTGAAGAATGTGTTAAAATGGTAGTTCTGCGTGGCTGGGTGCATTAGAATGTGTTCCTATTGAAACTGCCGTTTCATCCGACGGTACCAGCCCTGCTGTCGTTTCTGTGATTCTGGGTATGTACATCACCAGCTTCTGCTTCACTCCACTCACTGGGAGAGGGGTCGGAGACTGGCTGTACTGGTGCCGGCAGCTGGCTGACTTCAGAGGATCCTGCCCCATTTGGTGGCACCACCTGGCTGCCTCCACCACAGCGGCACTGCAAGGTGTATCAGTCCATGTTGCTGGAAGTGTTGGGGTAAAAGAAAGGCCCTGGTGCTAAACCAGAGCATCCTCCCTGATCCCAGTTGTTCTGGGTACTGGGAGTCTCGGCCAAGCAGCGCCACGGGTCGTGTGCTCCAGGCTGTGTGCGTGTTCAGGAAAGGTTGTAACCTAGGACAGGCAAAGGAGGTGAGGGGAAAGAAAAAAAAAAAAGTGCAAAACTGAGTGTTGCACATGACTCCCTCTAACCTGCAGAATGTGCTCCACAGATCTGTTTATGTATTTTGCCTGGAGACTGTTTTGGAAATTAGCAGCTTTGAGAAGGAAATGCATGAACAAGCGAGTTCCTCCTTTTCAATGGCGTATGCCTCACTGAAGACTGCAAATACTTTTGAAGTCTACTGGGTCAGCTTTTTCCAAATATCCACACAAGTGTGAGTGACCTAGGATTTGCCAAAATTTAGATTCGTATCTTTTCCCCTATGTCTTCTGCCCTTTTTTTTTTTTTTTTGGAGTTGGGATAGGGCCCCTGGGCATGTCACTCTTCTTTCTCAAATCCGCTGTCGTACGCTATCAGCTGGGCTTTACTCATCGTGTTGCGCTGAGGTTCTCCTTTTACGTGCTGGCTCCTAGCTGTGGACACAGGGTTGTAAATGAGTAGTAACACGGGCCTTCCTCACCACTGAGGCTCCTAGAGGCCACCTTTCCTGCAGCACCCTTCTGTGCAAGGGCAAGACGAGTGCATCAGGTGTGTCGCTGACGTTCCTAAGCCTGGACCCGTGTTCTGGTTTCTTCCAGGTATTCCGAGAGCAGGCTATTGACGGGGAGACCCTGCCCCTCCTGACGGAAGAGCACTTACTGAACAACATGGGCCTGAAACTCGGACCTGCGCTCAAGATAAGGTCACAGGTAGGACAATTTCCTGGGTAGCTGTCCCTAGCTGGAACAGGGCTGTCAAGTTTATTGAATATAATTTATCAAGCAATAATTATTAATTTATTTATTTATTTGTAATTCTGGTTTCAAGAAAGCTTGATTTGTCCTCCAGAATGTTCCATATTCTCTTCTGGAGCCAGTCACAACTCTTCAGGAAGAAAACACGGACTGTATTCAGTGCCCAGGGGCAGAAGCAAATAGCTCAGGAGAAGGGATGGGAGAGAATAAGAGGGATGCAGCAGGAAACTCCTGAAGTGGACCAGCTCCTGCTAGAAAAGACACGTTAGGCTGTTCCCACAAATACTGGCCAGGAAATAAGAGCTGTAACTAGGTGAGGCAAGGTAGATGGTTTCAAGTCAGGTGAACCTGAAAATAGTCATCCCAAAGTACGTAAAGAACTGGGTAAAGCCATCTCAGGATCCAGTTTTGTCTTTTTTTCTAGACTGGATCCAAGTCCTTTTGCTGCTCATTCTCCTTGTAACGCCATGGCTCTTGGCAGCTCTTTTTAGGGAGGCTTGAAGCACAAACGCATTTCACACGTCTCAGCATCATCTGTTGATTATTTTCCCTCCCCAGTGAG